CAGCCAGGCGAGAGCTCCCAGCCCCTAGGCCCCCACTGCGCCCCGGCGTCTGGGTCTCCAGGGTGCACGCCTGGCACCCGCTCTCCTCCAGCTGGGCGCAGTGGCACTTCTGCTCCCCACCCCCGGGGGCCACCATTCTTAAAGTGGGTGCTGGGAGAGGGTTAGATGAAACGAGATGGGCCACGAGGGGATAATTGTGGAAGCTGTGTGGCGAGAACTTGGGGAAGCATTTTATCATTCTCTCCCCTTTTGTGTGAGAATATCCATAATGTAAAGTAGTGGGGCCACCAGGGCATGGGAGCCGCTCTCTCCCAGTCCCAGGCGTGTCTCCGGGTGTGCCCAGCCGGTCCCCTCTGCTCCCAGTCCGGGACCCCATTCCGTATCTGTACTCGCTGCGTGCGTGGGGACAATGGGGGCCAGAAGCAGGGAAGTCGGACCCCGCCCCAGCACCCCCGCAGCGCAACTGCGCGGAACCCAGCATCCCGCGAGATTGTGGGCCCCCGCGTTCCAACCCAGCACCCCGCGAGATTGTGGGCCCCCGGCGTTCGAACCCAGCATCCCGCGAGATTGTGCCCCCCGCTTTCGAACCCAGCATCCCGCGAGATTGTGCCCCCCCGCTTTCGAACCCAGCACCCCGCGAGATCGTGGGCCCCCTCACGTTCGAACCCAGCATCCCGCGAGATTGTGGCCCCCCGCGTTCCAACCCAGCATCCCGCGAGATTGTGGCCCCCCGCGTTCCAACCCAGCATCCTGCGAGATTGTGGGCCCGCGGCGTTCGAACCCAGCATCCCGCGAGATTGTGGGCCCCCAGCGTGGGAAAAAACAGCTTGTGCCAAGACAGAGCTGTGTATTTGGGGGACCTCGTGCCTCAGCGTGGCTGGAGCGCGTGGTCTGAAGGAGGTGAGGCCGGGGGTGAGCAGAAGCCTTCCACTAAGCTCACAGGGCCACCAAGATTCCTGGAAGGGTTTTGGGCAGAGGTGAGCCCTGGTCCTATTGCATTTTTGTGAAGTTGCCGCTCCTTTAGTGTGGAGAGGGGATGGGCGGGGCCGTTGCCCTGTGTCCTACGCAAGGGTGGTGGTGGTGGCAGTGGAGATGGGAAAGGGACAGGGAAGAGAAAGAAAGGTGGCTCCCTTGTGCCAGCCTGTGATTTGAGCTGGGCATTACAGCAACCTGGGCCAGCTCTCTCCACATTCAGACTCCCAGGCCCCAGCCATGGAGGTGTGGATTTAGTAAGTCAGGAGTGGGGCCCAGGAAACTGTCTTTTGCAAGCTTTCCAGGTGATTGTTCTTGTACAGCCAAGTTGGCCGTGCAATCTTCCATGACCCGCTGTACCTGCAGGGGAGGGGACACTGGAGCAAGAGGCCAACGTGACTCCAGGCGTCTGGCTTAATAGGTGGGGAGAAAATGAAGGGGCTTGAGGCCTGGAGTCCTGTGAAGTTGAAGGGTGCCTATGTTGGGGGCTGGCGGGAAGGTGTTCAGTATAACGATAAAGCAGATGTGCATTTGGTGTGCAGCGGTTCCTGAGTGACTGAGTTGCACATCTGTGGAGTGCCCTGCAGAACCCACTGTGTTCAATTCCACGGGAAGGCAGTGGAGCCGTGGAAGATTTTTAAGGAAAACAGTGACTTGGTCGGATTGCATTTTAAACAGATCCCTCTGGTGGCCAGGATGGAGGGTGATTTGGAGGACATGGAGAGCTGATGCCAGGAGACCAATGAAGTGTCTACCGCCGGAGTCCAGGCAAGAGATAAAGAGGGCTCGAGCTTGAGGAGGGGTCGGCTGGAGAAATGTTTGGACAGTAAAATCAGTTAGACAGGTGACTGACTGGATGTTGCAGGTAAAGGACAAGGATCTATATGTGCTTGGTTTCTAGCTGAGAGGTGACAGGGAAGGTGGGATCACCAACTCAGGTGTGCTGGACAATTTCATGGGAAGGACACTGAGTCCACCTTGGATGTAATAGCTTTCAAGTTCATAGGGACATACAGATGGAACTGTTCAGCGCATGAAATTCAGTGAAACAAGGAGGGAGCATCCTGGAGGGCCTCTAGGAGGAGGGGGAGTCGGTTGCCCTAGTGCGGGTATCTGGGGGATATAGAGAGAGCCGGGTATGGGGTGGAGGTGTGGGTAACACGTAGCACAGAATTTGAATTTGGGGTACCTCAGGCTTCAGAGTGGAACTCTGGTGGGACAGCGGGAGGCTTGGTGACAGGGCTTGGCATTACAAATGGAATTCTGGTGACACATGGCCTGGGAGGCCAAGAATGGGAAATAAACCCTGGCTCCTTACTCCTTTGTCAAAGGAGATTGCGCTGGCGGGCAGGCAAAGATGGCTTCTTGGCTTAACGCAGCTGCCTCTGTGCGTCCTAACATATTCCCAGGGCGCCCTGTGTGGGTGCCGCACGCTCACACACACATGCTTGCGGTCAGGAGCCCCTTTTGGTTTTGGCTGGAACACTGATCTTTGAATATCTGAAGCAGAGAGACTCTTGGAACATTAGATCCATGAGTAGATTCAGCGACTAGCTCAGTGTTTTTGGAAGAACACTGTGGGCCAGGCTTGGGGTTCAGAGGTGAAGGGACATGGCCGGGATATGGCGGGACTCACAGGCTGGGAAGGACCAAGATAAAGTTTGGGACAATGTATAAGTGTGATGTATGGGGACAGGGAGGGTATCTAACCTCTAGGGTGTCCAGCCTTCCCGGAGAAGGTGACATTAAGCTCAAGCAGGGCTCTGAAGGGTGACCAGGATCTCAACAGGCAGAGGAGGGGGAAGAGGCTGCTGGAAAGGAAATAGCAAGTCAGAGGACAGGAGCTCTGAGCCCAATAGCTCCACTGGGGACATCTGCAAGGAGCTCCCTGCAGAAGGGGCTCCCCTCCGCGTCAGGTGGCCTCACCTTAGGATCAGGGGATCCCAGAGTCCAGGCCAAAGCTGATGATGTCAGCTGGCTACAGTTGCAGCCAATTCCCGGTGTCTCCCCC